AATTAAAAAATTAATTAAATCCTAAACAAATTTAATAAATAAATAAATTAAAAAATTTTAAAAACATATTTTTATAATCAAAAAATAAAAAAATAAATTTATCAATAAAATTTAAAAATTTTAATTTTTATATATTTAAATCTTAATCTTATTTATAATTTAGAAGTGAAGAAATTCATTTTTTTTTCATAACATTTCAAATAGCACTTCGTCATCCCTAAGATTATTTTCTGGCACTGTCCTTGGACATATCAACAGGTAAGTAAGAGACAATTGGATTTTGATCCACGCCGTTGATCAGGGCAGCAGGGCCAATGTCCCTAGACTTGGTAAACGGGCAGTTGGGTTGGGTTAGATTAGGGGTAGGTCAAAATAGGTTACGAGTTAAAAGGGATTGAGTTAAAACCAAAAATAAGTTAATGAAAGTTGATCATAATTCAATCACAGGTTACGAGTCAATTCATGGGGCTGATCTAATTAATTTTTTTTATATAATTTTTACTTATTATCATTTAAAGAAAATTATTCAAAAGATTTAAAAATAAAATCCAACATCTTATAGAAAGAATTTGTTTCCTATTAATTTAATAAAACATATTTATAATTTCTCAGAATCACTTTCTTCACTTTTATTCAAAGAATAGCACTAATCAAATTCAATAACACTACACACTTATAAATCTCAATAACAAAAAAAAAAAAAACATAGTGGTAGTAGCATGACAACCAAAAAACACTGGTTATTGTTTTCAAAGAATAAATCAATTGAATACATCTAAGTAAGCAAAAGCGAAGATGAAGTAGAATTTTTACTTGGAATGAAAAAAAACTAAAAGGTATAAATAAGTAAACAACTTATTTTGAAGGCTTTAAAGAGAACAGTTGGTGACAAAAAAAGTACTTGTCGAATTCGAAAGAGAAAGAAAGAGTTGAGTTGACGCAACAATTACTCAATGAGATTAAGATCTAAGTTTGAGATAATATTAAAAACTAAAGAAAAAAAGTGAAGTCGAAACTTGAAAATTGAAAGTTGTATGAGTTATGGAGGTTGAAAACTATGAGACGAGATTAAACTTTGAAGAGTTAGAGTCTTACAAAGTATTAGGGTAAGCAAAAATAGGAAAGGTTGAGAGGTAAATCATGAGTGGAGTGAGATTATTTTTATTTATAGAAGATTATGAGTTTAGAGAATCAATTAGTTAATTAAGAAAAATTAATCAATTATTAAAGGTTTAGATGAGATTGAAAATTAAAAAATAAAATAAATAAATAATAAATTTTAAATTTTTAAACAATTAAACGGCTGAACTCAGTAATCTAGTGGATTAACCCGTTACCAACCCATGAGCCATCAAGTTCTCTTTAAGGATCATTGACGCATCACAGGTCATAAATTTCTTACCTTAACCCATTTTAAACCGGTGAATAATGGGCGGGATAGAAAAAATTTACAGGTCTAAATGTCCCTCAAATCACGCCATTGATCTCCTACCATTGAACTCAGTTGGAGCCTCGAGTTCAGCGCCAGTTGGTGTCCCTGAAGTCACGCCATTGATCTCCTACCATCGAACTCAGATGGAGCCCCCAGTTCAGCGCCAGTTGGTTCCCTCTTACATCCTTCTCTCGTTTGGACTGGACGGTTATCTTGAAGGCTTTTTATACCCTTTCTCAACTGCAGTACTGCCCATTTCCTTTCGTCTCAACCATCTTCACGGTATATCCATCTTCCCCACAAAGAAAAAGTGGGCCTCGGTGCAACAAGTTCGGATCCGCATCTTGAGTACTTTAAATCTTACTTCTGTTTATGTTCTCCTCGATTTACAGTCAGATTTGTGTGTATTGATGTTTTTGGATCTGGTTATGATTCATGTCAAATCTTGATTTGCGTTTCAAATTTCTTTTTTTTTTTTAACCTCCGGAAAATTGAATTTCCGGTTCAATATGATGTCGTTGGTCTCATAATTTTATAAGATATGAGATTCAAAGCAGATAGATCTTGATTTTGGGTTGTTGATTTGGTATTTGTTTGGTTTTCAGTTATGATGGGGCTGTCTTTTGCGAAGCTATTTAGTGGGCTTTCTGCGAATTCTTATGGTGGGTCTTGATGCTGCTGGTGAGATCGCCGTTCTGTCTAAGCTCAAGCTTGAAGAGATTGTGACTAATATTCCCGTAGTTGGTATGTTCTTTATCTGTCTTTAGAAATAATACATTTAGTTGTTTATGTGTTGTTTGATCACTAATGATCTTTCTGTTTTGCCTTCTTTTACAGGGTTTAATGTGGAGACTGTGTAGTATAAGGACATCAACTTCACCGTTTTGAATTTTCTATTCTTTCGGCTCAGGTTCCCTTCTTTTGCTAGTAATTCATACTGATTAATCTTCTTTTGATTTAATTTTGTGAGTTCATGATCAGTTAAGGGTTTTAGTGTCTTGATGATATTTTCTGTAAATGGTCAAAGATCTTGATGACCATACAAATCAATAGTGGGCATGATGAAAGATTCTTCCTATTTGTCAATTGAAAGTTATTAATGATTTGGGTAGTTGAATATGCTGTTTTTAATACGGCAGGGTGGAAGAACATATAGGAGAGATATCATCATCTATCATGGAAGAGGGTAATCGAGAACATGCAGCAAAGACACCATCCATCAATTCAAGCGGCGATAGAAAATGTGAAGGAGATTGGAGTCATTTTACATTAGTCGAGGGTTCTACTGTGGAAATCTTGGAAGAGGATAATCAAGAATGTGCAGCAGAGACATCAGCTATCATGCAAAATGATGACGGAGAACATGAAGTAGATTTGAGTAGTTTTACATCATCACCATCACCTGTCATGCAGAAGGACAACGGAAATGATTCTTTATCATCTAAGGGTTTAATATTCAGAATTCCAGGTTTGTTTAAAATGCATAATGAACAGGCTTATAGGCCTTATAAATTTTCAATTGGTCCGTGGTATTTTCGTGAAACAGAGTTGTTGGACATGGGACAAAAATTGAAAGAGTCTTTTTTCGAAAGATTCATTAATCGTTTCTCAGATCCAGCAGCAACGAAGAGCCAGTTGGAAGTAGCTATAAAGAATGTGCGTGGCAAGATTCGAAAATCTTACGAGAGAGGGGATGTACATCATGTTTATTTTGACACTAGCATTTGAGAAAATCTTGCTGCTGGATGGTTGCTTTATTATCGAGTTGTTCCGTAAGAATTTGGTAGAGGTACCCGAAGGAGAAAATGAGTCGCTACTTTTCTCAGGGGGTATGATGCAGGTCATTTATCACGACCTGTTATTGCTAGAAAACCAAATACCATGGGTTGTGCTGGAGCTTTTGTTTGACACAACCAGTGATGATCCTAAACGCATTAGTTTAACTTTGGTTCAGCTGGCTATTAGATTCTTTAGTTCTGCTATTTCTCATTATGAACCTGGAGAACTACAAAGCTTTCAAATAGGGCTTCAATCTAGGAATGACACAAATTTTATACATTTGGTCGATTTTGTGTGGCATTTTTTGTGTTTCTCATCAGAAATGGGAAAAATTATTGAGTTGGGATACAGGGAGTTTGAAGACAGGACCCTTATTCCTTCTGTCACCAGACTTAAAGAGGCGGGAGTTAAATTTCAAAAAGCTGAGTCAAGAAACATCATGGATGTAAGATTCAACAACGGTATCCTTGAAATCCCACCGTTGCTAATTACTCCATCGACAGAAACCATCTTCAGGAATCTCATCATCTTTGAGCAATGTAGTCTTCGTTGCAATCCATATGTGACATGTTACGTCATACTCCTAGATTGCCTGGTTGACACCGCAGATGATGTGGATTTAATGAGCAAAGCAGGAATTTTTAGTAACTGGTTGAACCCTGAGGAGGCGGCTAAATTCTTGAACAGAGTCCGTGACAACACTCCCATAGGAGAGTTCTTTTATGTACAACTTTGCAAAGATGTCAACAGATATTGCAAGAAGAAATGGCCGACATGGCGAGTTTCTTTGATCCGTAACTATTTTACTAAGCCGTGGGCTATCGTTTCTGTAATTTTTGCCATGATCATTTTGTTTTTCACCATCATGCAGGTTTTCTATGAGTAACGTTTCTTAACACTTTTTACATTAGTAGAGGCACTATCCGTTAATGGAATCTTTTTTTTATCAATATTGTAGCAACATATCTTTTGCTTACTATCCTTCGCTCAGTAGAATCTTTTGATCAATATTATATCGCTGTGTCTTTGCTTTCTGTTCAGAAATTGTGTATGCGCTATAAGGAACTGAGCCAAGGAATCATCAATGTGTAATCTAATTGTTTCCTCAAAAATCCTCAGCCGACCTTTACCACGTGAATTGGATATTAGGCGTGCCACTTGCTTTGTCTAAAAACAAGAAAATGAGATTTTCCAGACGACCCTTCTTCTTTCCAGCGGTCGACCTCCAATAGGATGGCCGGAAAGAACGTCTGTGAAATGAATTGCGCCCCAGACGATGTTGCAAAACAGAGGGTAGAGCTCTGCAAAATGGGTTACTAATTGCCTTGGA